TTTCGGTCTCCAGAAGGGCACACTCATCAACTAGCAACATCAGCCATCTTGGAAATAACTGCAGGCCACTAACAGTATTCATACACAGTTAACTTATAAATTTGGGCTTACCTGGAATTCTTGAAATATTGCATTTTGATTTGTTCTTGAATTGATCTGTTTTAATTTATACAATTTAATTCTGTAATCTGATGTAGAAATAGAGGTATCCCCACACAAACTAGCTTCTAATACTGCTTCGTAGATAAATGTGTACTGATCCTGATAAGAAAATAGCAAGAATAACTTTGAAGTGGGGATTCTAAATACACAAAGATTTAAAGAGCTCAAAAAGCTTTCTCGATGCACTTAATTTTTATTTCAGAATCACCATTTTGATCTAACCCACTCGCACTATTTGTTCACATATCAAAGTGATCAGATGACATATACATGTAACACTATTACAAAAGTATGTATTCTGATAGTAGTTTACAAATAAATAAATGCTGCTCGGACTGATAAATATGATATAATACAATATGATATAAGATTTTTAATAGTTATTTAGGACTACGATTACCAAATATTATCTTCTATATATGTATTCTGATGTGTATAATAAAGTACCGGTAGTACAAAAATCATCACAATCACACAAGGTTACAAAATAGCATAATATTATGACCATAATTTGTACATTGTATTGACTGCATTGATTTCTCAAGGGAAAAACTATCACAAATTTTGGGAGTCATTGAAAATCGCAAAAGCTCAGTTGAGAAGAAAATCAAATTACGATAGATTACAGTATAATGGTACTTACCAATACTTGAACCATGTTGATACGTTGTGAACGTATTCGTTTCACAAAGTCAAAAATATTCACTTTTCCTTCTGCCTTGATCATATCTAACATGGAGTCGATAACGATGAATGTACCCGTCCGACCAACACCAGCACTGAGTTTAAAATAAACAAATATATCCTTACATATCAGTACCATTCATCCTCTAATAATCATACATCTGAAAAAATTGCTTATAATTAGTAGAGATGTGTGGTCAATATAAGTCATATTTTATAATCCAGTTTACTATAAGCAATTGACTTAAATGCACTAGAGATTCCAATACAGCATATATGGTATGAAATCATTCATATACTGTGGAGTACTTAATTTTCGCTTGTAATTTATTCTCGCTATTATTTTCACTGAAGGGATGATCCAGTGAAAATAAAATCCAGCAAATATATCTTTTTTACATTTCACTCATCAACAATAGTTGGCAGAGCCATCTCGATGCTGGGAAAATAAGAGTATTTAAAGGTGTGTTTTGGAGCAATGGATTGGCGAACAGACAGAAAAGCAATTTCAAAGACTTTGACTTTGTTTTAATGAAAACTTGAAGTATACATGAGGGTACCTGTTATTATTTCTTTATTTTGGAAACGCAATTTTTAACAAGAAATTAAACTAAAGTAAATAATCATGTTTGTTTAATTTGAACCTTAGAAATGACTACTGTTCAACTCGGGACGTTTATTTGTACTTAGTGTATGTTACTATGAAATTCGAGAAAAACAGTCGACAATGACTAAATGCATGGCCACAGCCAAATCGCTGTTTAATTGAAATAAAAAAATCAAAGAAAACAGGGAACTATAATACAGGAAGAGAAACACGAGCGATTAGTCGAACAACAGGCATTACAGCAGCCATGTTTGTTTTACCTCGATCAATACAGTATTACCCAAGATGCACTATTCCCATAAGCGTGGGTGTGTGTAAGTTCAAGCGTACTGCGGTCAAAAACAAGCTAAGAAATTATGTGACGAGACCATCCCGATTTGCCGACGATTTCCTGGTTCGGGAGCGTTTCATGCAAAAAGAACGATATGCACTACACCGCCAAGTGTAGTTGACAATCCCGATGGCAATAGGTTGATTTATACAGTTGATTTGTAACAGACAAAGTAAATGGAAATCACTTTTCAGTCCTCGTTGAGACACAAACGTAAATGAGTTGGTAAACAAGAGAGGATGGCAACTCCACATTGAGGCAGATTTACACACTACTACAGTTCGACTAAAGTTTACAAACACCACGGTCAGTCACACAAAGTCCCCCAAATTCAAAAGGGTTTTTTAAATGCGTTGGGGAACATGAGACGAACAATTGTGCATATTTAGATGACGACTCCACGTTATAACGCAGCGTGAAAATGGCAATGTAAACTTTGCTTGCAGAATTTCCCTAGGCAGATTTACATAATACTACAGTTCAATAACCCGGACGGTCAAACAAAGTCCATCAAAAGGGAACTGCAAGTTGTATAATGCCAACACAGTACCATGATTTCACAACTTTCGATGTCCACTGTACACAAGTAAATGTCTTTCCGTTTGCAAGAACACAAAGCCTAAACTATCAGAAATTCGTAACACATAATTCGAGTGGTGGTATAACAAAATAACTCATCATTTGTAAATTCAATCCATTGAAAAAGTATAAAAAACATTTTCATAAACAATTTGAATTATATAAATTCACTCTGAAAAGAAACAAGATTCATAAACATAAATCTATTTGAATACATTCTCATTACAAATTACACAATACTTATTTTCTAATGGAGTTTCTTCACAGCACAAACTATTGGAATCATCCACACGTGTGAGTACTTCGGTGACACATTTTATAGCTACGCCCAAAATAGTCCATCATTTATAGCGCGACTGTGACCAAGCGACATCATTCTGTTAACATCCACACATTTTCATAAAATCTCCATGCACTTTTTGACCTTCCATAAGTAAAACACACTACAATTTACTCCAGAAAAACAATTTTCTTGGTACATTCCTACATTCTTGCATACTAATAAGGGGTTCAGACACATTCCAAGCTGAACAATTTTCTTGGACTAATAACAAAGCTGGTTAATCCTTTCCCAGCAAAAATCAGTGAAATTAAACTCCATACAATTTATGTAAGCACATGATGTAAGTTTTATGCATGTCAATTTCCCACCCTTAGTTCCCCTTGAATAAAAACCTCCATACATACCTGCAGTGCACCACCATAGGACCAGCATGTGGTGGATTGCTTGCTTTTACACATTTGAGGAATGACAAAACGGCAGTGGCATACATCGGCACACCAAAATCTGGCCAAACTGTGAAATGGAACAGACTCACTATACGTATGTCATGTGACTCCTCCTGAGAAAATAATAAAAAAAAACGTTGTAAGACATCAGAATAGATTTAACAGCGTATTGATTGCACAGTTATACATGTAAGAGTAAAATGTAAGTAAGTTTAAAAGATAGAACCAGAACATAGCAAAAAAAAAAACCTGGATAAAGTTAAAATTCAGTCCTAAGATAGACATGTAACAAAAACCTCAGTAGTGCATGCGATTGATCCTGTACTATATTTCAAATCACACATATCATCAGTAATTTACATTGTCTTTGGTACTAACACAGTCTATGAATTCCAGCTCCTACCAAGCCAAGTACCAGCAGCTAGCTGGAACCAGTTCAGTTAAATATGTTAAACCAGGTACAATGTACATGATGACATGAAATTTTCCATACATACCTCTTGTAACCTGAATGTCCGGTGAGTGAAATCAGCCAATCGTTGCGTAGCTTCTAAAATGACGGTAAGGTTGTTGTACTTAGCTGACTCATCAGGCCAGTACTTAGCACATTTGGGCTAAAAAAAAAAAATATAAAAACAAGTGAAACAAGCCATGCATGGCACAGTCCCCGTTAGTTATCACATTTAATATATATATATTTGTTTATAGTAATATAGCTGGAATATAACCATGTCAGGAATATAATTATGATGATTGTTTAACATTGAAATGATTGACATTTGTATCTGATTGTCAAACGAGTACTTGTCCATATTGAGAGATATTGCTCCGGAACAGCATTAATTAAAACAAAATCAGCTATTTCAAATACATTTATATATCTATAACATTATAAATAATGAATATATAAAATTTGAACATAATCAGTCAAAGCATGTCAGAGATATGGCTCTAGAAGCCCAAAAATTAAAACAAAATGGCCGCCAGTCAGCCATTTTTAATGTGATCTAAAAAATAAAATAATGTGCATCAGGAACCCGTAATGTCTAATGTATGTTATAAGTTTGAACAAAATCCATCCATTGAAAATTTGAACATAATCAGTCAAAGCATGTCAGAGATGGCTCTAGAAGCCCATTCGTTAAAACAAAATGACCGCCAATCAGCCATTTTGAATCTGATCTGAAAAATAAAATGACATGCATCAGGAACTCGTAATGTCTAATGTATGTTATAAGTTTGAACAAAATCCATCCATAAATGCCAGAAATGCTTGATGACAAACCATTCGGCCATTTTTGATAGGATTGTCAAACCAATATACATGTATCTGTATATCTATGACATGGTGTATAATGAATATTAAAAATTTGAACATAATCAGTCAAAGCAAGTCACAGATATGGCACTAGAACCACATTCATTAAAACAAAATTGCCGCCAGTCGGCCATTTTGAATCTTATCTGAAAAACAAAATGATGTGCATCAAGATACTATAATGTCCAATGTATATACTAAGTTTAAACAAAATCCATCTGTGAAACAAATTGATGTGCATATGTATGATGCAATGTATGATGTATGTGTGAGTTTGATTGTGATTGGCCAAGGCATTTCTAAGATACAGGTCCAGACGGACGCACACACACACGCACGGACGGACGGACAGGCGGACGCACGGAGGTCAAAACATTAAAGTCTAAAAATAATTACTCCATATCTCATTATTATGCATGTAAAATGCACCAATAATAAACTTGGTTATCCATATACCTTCGTCTATAACATATATAAATTTGAAACCGATCAAGTAAAAATTACTTGAATTATTGCACAATAATTATATGGGCCTAGCCCTTCAGGCTTGGGCCCTTAAAAAAACGGATGATAATAATGGAGGCCTAGCCCAACCTTGGCCCCCTTTTAAAGATCTAGGACTAGGACATTAGGTCTTATGTCACTAATCAACCAATGGCTGCTCGTAGCCCTCAATTTAAATGCCTAGCAAGAACCAATGACATTTTTTAAATATTTTTTTTCTCAGGTGCTCCCTGTTTGAGGGCGTAATCACCTGGGTCAGAGGTGAGACCAACATGTGGTCTTTTGTTTACTACTTAGCGGCTGTGTACCTGTGGGTTTATTCTGCCCACCTGTGAGCCCATTAGCTGTCTAGGACATTACATTACCATATCTTTTTAAGGACTTTATCATACCCTGGATTCATACAATGATTGACGTCACACACAGCACATGCCAGTTCCAATTGTATAGACAACTTTTTGTCTGCATTTATTGAAGCGAGAACAAAGTTTATGTCCTGCAGAGATAAGTTATTCACAGCTAGATAACTGTATAACAATTCCAAATGTTGTCACCCCATTTTAGAATAAAAGAAATTGCATTGTGGGTGAATTTGATTTGGTGCATGGATACAATCTCCACTCATTTTTATGAGTCACTGAGCTTTGACAACGTCAGAATTGATTCTTTCGAACCAGAAAATCCAGACTTGTTCAACGACAGCACTACCAATATGAACCCAAATGAGTGTGATTCATTTTCTGCTTACAGGAAGCCATATATATCAACTTCCGTTAGAGAAGTTTTGACGAAAATGCCAATACTGAGTACAGACCGATTACTTGATGTCGGATGTGGATCCGGAGCGTTCACTGAAGCATTAGCAATGGAGTCAAATGTGAAGCATATCACTGGTAAGAAAGTGTTTTAGTTCTGTATTTAATATTTATTTTTAAAAAGATGCCTGGGAAGACAAGGCCTTTAAATGTTATAACGTTAATTTGTTTGTTAGCAGGATCCACTGTGGTGTTTCAGTGGTCAGCCAACAGCCGAATTTAAACATGTGGCCACTCTGAAAACGCAGTGGAGCTAGGGCGGATAACGTGGAAGTCATTCAAATACCACAAGTGAAACGTTGTTCAAAAATAATTGAATGTTGGATCATTTACAATAATTACAATTAATTGAATATACTAATCACACACGCATCAGATAATGGCCAGTGTTAACAAATGTGTGTATGTGAAAATGAGCCATAGCACAGTACCCGTAAGTTATCAAATTTAAGATATATAGTTTTGTTTATACCGGGTAGTAATATAGTTGGAACATAAACATGTCAGAAGTATGGACCCAGAAGATGATACCCCGGTATTTGATTTTGATGATTTTTAACATTAAAATGATTGACATCATGTAACTGATCGTCAAATGAGTACTTGTCCATATTAAGAAATATTGCTCTGGAACAGCATTAATTAAAATCAAAGGAAACTTAGAAAGAACTCACCAGTGTGCTGAGAGTAATTAAAAATTACTTGTAC